AYGGAAACTTTATTAACCTGCCAGTAAGAGGCAGGAGTTCTGCTCACTGCAATAAAATAACAAACGACCTTTGAACTGTAAGCTAACGGAGCTTCTGCCAACACTCTTTACAAATCTGTGGCCTGCAGTTACCACACAGCTCCCTCAGGGGAAAATCTTTTGCAAAAGTCGGCCTTGATTTTGACTTTTTTAAAACATCTTTTTTTTATTTAATTGTCAAAACATTTTGAACCTTAGTTGTTAGAAGTTCCCACCGAGCCGTAATTATACCTATAAAGTGTGCGAGATTACGAACAAAAAGCAAATTATAGATAAACTCGTAAACTGAAAACAGATGTTTAACACAAGGTTTGCTTTCTCCCAGTTGGTGGTGCGTTCAAGGTCCGCTGAATCTACTTAATAATACCTTCTTGTGAAATAGTTTTCATTTGCTTTTAAAACAAGATGAGCATATTTTATTTTCAGACATTTCTGATTCCAGCCCTACACCTCTTTAGTGTTTTTGCTATTTTATTAATTTGGAACAGATTGTAATTATGAGCTAACCGTTAGAACTGGATCTCTGGAGGTCACCAAGAAAATGAAAAACATAAATCAAGTTCTAAATTTATTAAACAATAATTGTTTGACCAGAAAAAATTATTTACAATCAAACTTTTAACCAGTTTTACAAATCTTCGGCCATCTGATGCGCATAACACAACCTATTTTTTGACATTTGGATCACAAAAACTGCATCACAACTAACATGTCAAACTCAAGAACCACGGGCCAAATGTGGCCCATCACAGCATTTTATTTGGCCAGCRAGAGCATCAGATATTAACGTCTAAAAATAAAGCCAGCRCTGACTATAAACTCCAGTAATGCATGTTAAATATTTAACCCACAAAATGAAGGTATCCTACCACTAGGTGRAGCTGCACAGGGTTCWAAAGTAGCTGGGATGGCAAAATTYGCCATGTAAAATCTCCATTTAGATGCATTTAAGCTGGCTACTTTCATTATGGCCTAGTTGGAATAGGAAGCAGGAATTTCCGACTTACAATTGTAAATTYAGAGTTTCTAAGAGGACGTATTAAAACACTGTTTATATGCAGGAAGTACCACATAGAGCTCTGTTATTGTTTGTTAGGCGCTCAGCTGTAGCAATGAGACAAGGTTTTTGTGCTCAGTTGAATTTGAACACAAAACACTGGAGTTAATTACAGCTGGTCCTTCGAGGGCCACCGTAACGCTCATGAGGCCCTCAGTGAAAATGACTTTATGACATATAAGTTCAGAAAAAGCAGCACGGTTTTATTTTGTACGGCGTAAAGTTAGCGGGCCGAGAAAAAAATGCAATCAAGGCTTGACAAAACTAACCCAGTAAAGCTAAATTATTGCGTAAACTTGCACACTGCACGGTTGCCATATTTGACCCATTTGAAAATGATTATGTATTATTAACAGGCGYGCCTTTGTCGAAAAAAAGAGATTCAAGGTGACCCCTTTCTGCAAAGAAAGGTGTGTTTAATTAGTTTGACCTCGTTTTCAAAACTGTTCATGCAAAATGAGTCTTTTAAACAAAACCTTACAGTAAACACACACACACACACACACACACACACACACACACACACACACAC